AGTTCATCCTCTGGTAAATATTTATGTCTCAAGGATGTCTGGATGGGGCTGTGGATTACCCAGACTGCTGAACTACTGTAGCAAAGTAAACAAATATCTGAAACAAAAAAACAAGCAACTGCTGTCACTGTTTTTTTTTTTTTTTTTTTTTTTTTGTTGGTTGGTATTTTTTTGTTAATTTTTCCATTATACTAAACAAGGGTTTAATTAAGAAGTCTGACAGATGGCAGGACAGTACCTAATACAAGATAGAGCACTTCTGTGAATTTAAGGTGGTTCTTTAACAGTCCTTTCTGCAAAGCAGAAGTGAGAGCCATGGGTCTTGGAGGCATTACTCACTGGTTTGTGTGGGCATTTCTGAATCTGAGCTCACTGAGGAGCCTTTTGCCTTCACCATTCCTGCCTCCTCCTTTTTCCCTCTCCCAGAGGGCCGCCCCCAGCTGACCCCGCTGCTGCTTCTCCTCTCTTGGCTCTGTGGTGAGGGGTGGATGGAGCACTGGGTGAAGTGAATGGTCACAGCTGCGTGGTGGAGGTGGTGGTTTTCATTTCCCGAGTAATTTACATGGAATTCTGCTATAGGCTTGAAGAAGAAAGGGCAACTATGAGGCTGAATTGCCGAGGTGGCCATCCCAGCACCATGTGGCAACATTTTCTCGTAAGCCCAGCAAGCTTGCAAGCCCCCTGGAGATGTTGAGCTGGTGTGGGATTTTGCTTGGACATTTTTGGTTTGATATTCTAAAGGAAACTGAAAATAAGCCAAATGTGGCTGTTTAATCAGAGTTTCCCATGATTTCTCGCACTCTTTCATATGCGCAATCTGTAGTGAGATTCTTAAATGGTAAAATAAAGGAATTCCACACTATTTTCCATACTTCTGCAATAAGGAGGAAAGGAATTTTTTTCCCTTGGATACTGATCTACAGAGCCCGAGAGACACAGTCTGAGGACCGGGGTGGGAACTCACTTCCTCATGCCCTTTCTTACACCGTCTATGTGAAGCCAGAAGATAGATGGGCTGCTGCCATTTCTGAGAGCCCGTGCTCAGATTGGATGTGCCTGCCCAGCACTCGCTCTTCATGCTTCCTGCTGCCAACTCCCATGTTTCTGCTGCTTTTGAGAAATTCACTGTGGGGAATTCTCCCCCCTGTGACAGGCACTTGGCATGAAAAAAACCCAACAATTTACAGGTATCTCTACAGAGGCTTTCAGACACTTTCCCCACAGAATGATGAGCTGAGTTTGTCTTTCAGGTGATTTGGAGCCAAAGTAAATCTGGAGATAGCAGTGGAATACACCAATATTTAGTTGAGATGTTTCTCAAAATAATAATAATACCAACTGGAAATAAAATAGAAAAAAAATCCCCAGTGGGTGTTTTGGGAGAAAATACAGTCCTTTTCCTGTGTCTCTTCCATGCTCTCACCTCAAGGAGGCCTTGAGTAGGATTTTGGCTGGGACCTTGTTTTCGTTTCCATCAGGAATGTTTCTAGTTGGCACACAAGCTACGTGTGCAAAGCAGAGAAGCTTGGGAAGCTGCTTTACTCTTTCTTCCTATTGCAACCTCCTCTCCTTCCTACAAATTGGAGCAAGACACCTATATCTGACAGTAGAAACTCTCTGAGAGTTACCTAGGCTCTGCAACAGCTCACGCATCTCCTGGTATGTGAGGTTGGCCACCACGTCCCAACATGCATGGTGACAACACTTCTCCCCCAGCACATAGCAGGGAATGCTCTGCACAGTGCTGGGGACTGGATCACGCAATTTCAGTTCATCCGTGTTTATTCTGGCACCGATAATTCAATATCAAATTAAAAAGAGAAAGCAGAGCCACTACTTTATAGGTAGAACCAGCCGATTTCAGCACGTAACGGGTTAGTGCAGTGTGGTTACACTTCTTTGCTTTGTCTGGTAGGTCCCCAGTTGATCTTCATTTTTACTCCATTTGCTCTCCCTGAGCTGTGTTTTGTAGCCTGTGGCTCTCCAGACGGGCTGCGCAGAATCAGCCCACAGCTGGGCTGAGTGCAGGACAGTCTTGCTCAATGTGCACTGTATTTTTGAAAGGTCAGCTAATGGGAGAGCTAAGCCTGCGTTTGCTGACAGATATTAAACTTAAGCAGTTCAGAGAATTTCTGTTTTTCACACGGTCAATAGCCTTGGAAAGACAAAACTTTTCAGAGATGCATCTGTAGGAAAAGATACACTTTATTACATCATTTCTTAATCTGAGGCTCATTAGAAGGCAACAGGATAAAGACACCCATCTGCATAAGCCAGTTTTGAAAATGGGCTGTAGACATCTTAAATCAATGGCTAAACATTTTGATCAATTGGGTCCCATGTTTTGGCTCTGAGAAGCACAATAAATCATTTTGGAAGTGGATGAGAGCTGAAGTAGGAGCACACAGCAAGGAACATATCAGAGCTACCCTTGCGTAGAGCATTTCCATTCCTCTGCAGGGGATCCCAGTGTTGCACACAGAACGGGCACAGTCTCACTGCCAGGGGGGAGGTGTGTGCAGTGCAGCCCCACTGCCACAAGGACAGCTCTCAGGAGGCATGGCACTGCCTGCACAGCTGTTTTGGAGGAGGCAGCATTTCCGAACTACATGTAAGAAAATGCTTCAGGTGAGCCAAGGGCAATATGCTGTCATACAATGTGCTTGTTTCTTTTTACTCATCTGTCTTTGAACAGACACAGCAGGTTGTACTGAGTGAAACAGAAGAGTCTTTTTGTAGCACTGGTACATGACAAATGGACTCCAGGACTGGCACTCATTTATGTGAAACAGCCAAGCCCAGCCTTGGTTTTGCTGGGTGCTGTCACAAGGGCTCTACTGAGCCCCACAGAAGCAGTGAAAATCCCAGCCTATAGTAATATCAGCAGTGAACATATATGGCATTTTGTCTGAGACGGCATTTTGCTATAGAAAACAGTTATAATCATTTATGGGTTTGAATTCCTTCCTTTTCCATCTCTGCTTCTTAAGACAATGGATTTACATGGCATATTTCACAACGCGTGCTATATGCAGAGATTACTGAATATAAAATCAAATTACATTTTCCATCAGGGTAGTACTAGAATGGCACCAGACAAAAGAGCAGGTTTATTTCAGAAAATGAATGATGCTTTCTGTAATCAGATCTGCAAGGGAGGTTTGGCAAGCAGGATGCATACAGATAAACCTCTGCTGGGTCTGGACTCAGCCTTGAGGACATTAAATCTGAAGTTGTGGGAGATTGCTGAAGATCTGCAGGAGAGCAAAAGGGCACAAACCCCTTATTTATTTAAATCAGAGCCAGGACTAAGGGAGACACAGACTCCAGTGCTAAGCAAAGCGCTGGTGTGTTTTTGATGCAAAGGGGTCAGTGCTGCTGTCTGCGTGTGGCTCCTTCTCATCCACAATTCGTGCTGCACATCCTGCAGGCTTGGGCAGCCCAGCCTGATTGATGTGGCTGCTCTGGGAAGAGGCAAGGAGGGCATGGTGCTCCTCAGAGAGCTTGGTGCTGCTAGCAGGAGTGCTGCCCTTCCAGCCAGCCCTGCCTGGGCTGAAGCAGCATGCAGGCTGCTTTGCACACAAGTGGGAAGCCACCCAGATGCTTACAGTCACATTTTAATACCATCCCACTTTCCCCAGTGTGGAATTTTCCTCCTACCCCTCAAACCCATCAGGTTCTCTCAGCTTACTTACACTAATAAAGGAAAACATGAATCTCAAATTCAAAAAGATCAATCTTAGTCTCACTCTTATCTTAAAGGTACCGCACTCCAAGTGAATTCCAGCCTCATAAACCAGAAAAAAAAAACCCAGATGGGTAATCCTATATGAATATATCTCTTGCTTACCAAGACCAGGAACTGTCACCACCACAGACCACTCTTTGCCAGCTCCTGCAGATATTCCCAGCTCAGCACTGGCCATGTGTTTCATTCCTAGGATGCAACAAGGAACAACACATTCCCAATGAATGCTGTGCTCCCTGTGGTCCTGGCAGGATAACGCACAACCCAACACTTCCCACTTCTCCCAAGCTGGAAAGTGGGAAGAGTGTCCTCAGAGCTCACGCTGCTGGAGCACAGGCTAGACAAGATGCCCGATGACTCCTGGGTCCCCTCCCACCTCAGCTATCCACCAGTCCTATAAAATAAGATGTGCTCTGACATGCTAAGTGGCACTAAGGAACATGGTTTGGTGATGAGGTTCAGTAGGTCAGCTTGATGACTGAACTTGATCTTGAAGGTCTTTTCCAACCTAGATAATGCTACAAAACAATACAGAAGAGATTTCTGAGAGTAAGAGAAACCTAGGTTCTACATATATAAGCATTGCATGGAAAGCACAACCGACAAACTGAGCTGTTAGCTTAAAAGTCAAGCACATCAATTCAGCAGCACTGAGGAGAGGAAAGCTGGGGAGCTAGAAGGTCTAGCAGGGCATTCCAGCAGGGTGCCATGGCAGTAGGACAGGTTGTGCGCTTCAAGGAGAAAACATTAGGAAAGAAACAGTGTGAAGTGTGTACCAGCACTATAACACACCATAGCATCTCTCTCTTTTCCTATTTGGAAAGCTTGTATCAAGGGTATTAATTTTTATGTTATGATTCTGCTAGGCACAACACACTAGAGAAACATTGAGAAACATTGCTTTCTTCACCTCAACAAATACAGGTATTTTGGGCTCTGCCCTTCAAATTTCAGAAATTCCTGCAACATGGTCTTGAATACAAGTCAAAAATAACACTACATCTCCAGCAGGAAGGTTTCAAGAATCAGCTGTCACCCCACCCGACCTCAGTTTAGTCAGGAAGGATCTGCTGAAGCAGCTGGATGGCAACAAGCAGGGTGTGAAAAGCTGGACCCCAGCATGGGACGGAGGAAAGAAGATAGGTTGGAAGATTTAGTGTGAAGCTGGATCTGCGTGAAGTGGAGAATTCCAAGTGTGAATGTGTCTATGTGTTCGTGCATGTGCTGAGGAAAGCCGGGCTGGCAAGGGAGACAGAGGAGAGCTTTGTGCACAGTGCTCGCTCTGACACAGCCCAGCCTGCTCCCTATCTCCCAGTTCCACTTCTGAGTGTGCGGGAACATGCGGTGGCTCCTTTTTCCCACTATCTTCATCATCCCCTGCACCCAGCAGGTAAGTTCATTAAATAGGAGAAAAAGATTTCTCCATTCCTCACCCTGTCTGAGTTTAAAGTTTTTATTTGCTTAACAACAAAATAAATTTCAGAGAAGCAAATTACTCCTAAGGAATAAGGAGACATTCCCTACTCCTGAAAAAATTTTGTGTGTAGCTTATTTATGGCATCTGTCCTGATCTTGGTATTTTTTCCTCTCTATCCTGTATATTAATATGAATCTTTCAGGAAACGAAGTGTTAGGGAAGCTCAGTGACCATGCGTTTTTTTCCCCCTTTCTTTTCTTTTTTCACAATGTAAGCACAAATGGTTATTTGATACAGTGTAGGGAAGTAAACATCTTGTCCATGCTCATGTTCCACATACATCTACGTATACACATCCAGTAAGTTTTGTTTTCAGATAGTTCTGCATTTTAGAAACTCATCTAGGCTGGGTTATGTTGTGTCTGTTATGAGAAAATATTAAATGATAACTATTGCTGAAGAGATCTGTGTCAAGGGCCAATTTCATTATTTACTTCATTTTGAAAATACACGCTACCTGTACTCAGCGTATTTCTCCTCTATGATCAAGATGACTTCCAAATGGAAAATTTCCAAGAGACTGTCTGACTCTGCTAACTTTCAGAATACTTAAAGCTAGCTTGATATAACTGAACATTAGTAATAAAACGTTGCCTACTTTTGCTATTTATTTATGCCATACACACCTTGTTCAATCCTTAAAACACACGAAAACAAGCAACAGCATATGAAGGGCTGCTATACAATGGTCTCATTTTCTGATCTGTGCATAGGATCAGTAAAAATACACAGTGGGCTTACGTGATGTGGATAGCTTTGTAGAGAAGCTTTGGGATACAAGAATTAGAAAATATCAGGCCTGTAAATTTGATAAGCAGAATTTCCATCATGACATAACATTTTTGAAGATTGTTCAGGCAGACCAAGCTATTCTCTAATTCTGAAGTTAAAATGTACAGGTTCTTATCCAGTGCTGATTTCTTATGGGGCAACTCTGAAGTCTTACACCTCTCAGCTGACATCTGTTCCTAAAAAGGGAAAGAGAAAACACTTGCTTAGATAGAATTCCGTAGGTGTTAAGCACGTTTTAATTTGTAGTACAAATTAAACTTACTGGATGAAGCACACAGGTCATTTCCTGCTACACGTACCCATTTTGAAATGAGATGCCTGATTTAAACCACATACGCTCATATTGTTGGCACAGGGCCAAACTCATAATAATAATACTTTGCTTAAAAAGAAGAAAAACCCATTGAGCAGCAAGAAAGTGAATTTCCTAAAGCAACCAGACCTTCCTGAATACTGTGAAATTTATGGGAACACCTTTTTTTCCACGTAGCGTTCCCAGAACAAGCCCTTAACAGCCTTTAATGCTCCTATGCACGCGTTCATCAAATTAATGCTATGCTTTAGAGAAAAGCTTAGGTTCTTGAAAAACAGTAAACTGAAATTACTTGTTTCTGTATTATTGCTGCACTTAGAGAAAAAGGGCTAGAAGAAATCCTTTATCAGCAAATGATTAATGGTTAGCAAAATACTACATTTATGAAACTATCTTCTGCCTTCTCAGTGGAATGCAAGATGAGAGATCATTATTCATTTAATGCATGAACTGCATTTCTGAATTAATATGTATCTTAAAAATCAGACAGCCAAAGGGACTTGAAAACTACTACTTTGGAGTTTCATTAGTAAGTGTGGATTAAGATAACATAAGTATAATTTCAAATGACCATAAAAAAATGGAAACTAATGGTAGAAAGAAGAGCCTTTTAAAAGGTCATTTAATGCACCATGCAATTAGGCCAGCTCAATTATGCTGCAAAAGCTTTCATGTGACATGTCACATGAAATGTTGAGTTCTGCAGAGGTTGAGAGCAGACCTGAAAGCCCAACCAGCACTGCAGCCCCTCCCTTCTGCCAGGGGTGCCCTACAGCTAGAGGGATGGAGAGAAATGGATAGCTGGGACTGCATGTGCCCTGAAAAATACAAAACATCCTCCTTTTCTTTACCATAGTATTGCTTAGATTAGAAGGGACCTTAAAGATCATCTGATTTCAACCCCCTGCAGTGTTGGATGGTGGTACAGGTAGGTGATGAGGGCCTAGGTCTCATCTTTCTCTCCTGCTTTTTGAGTAGCATGAGCTGTTAGGCCAGAGCAGCTCCTAGGATACACTCCACTTACATGCCAGCACTGCCTATGCCTCCATTCCCCACATGTCCTTCCTTGCTGAACAGCAGTGTCACAGCCTGCATTTCTGCTGAAACTCAGCATGGAAATACCTGCTGCTAAGATCTAAACTGGCATGTTTGAGATGTAATCCTCCATAAAAACGTACAGAATACCTATCTCAAATACATCCTTTCATACTGTGCAGACTTAATCTTCCCCAGCGCCTCAGAAAGATAAATAAATAAGTCAAGAACTATCAAGGACATTTTTAGATGCAAACTCTTGAGACAGAATGTGGAAACTGCAAATTCTGACTAGATCTTGACTTCCTGCTGCTTAGGTAAACCTCTTTCAGAGCTCCATTTTTGCAGAGTAAGCTCTAGGCCTAAGGAACACTTATTAATCCAAGTAGTTATTCGTTTAGAAAGTTACCTGTTAAGCTCAGTACAATTACCAGCCTCCCTTAATTAGTCACAGGATGCAGTTGTTGCAGCTAGCACAAAAGAACTTGAAAGTAATATAATAGTCCTTTCAAAACACCTGAAGTGTTGCTTTGAGCCAAAGTAACCCTCTGAATGTTCCCTATTTCCAAAAGCTTTGGCCATCAGAAGTGTCACAAAAGGTTGGCTGCTGAGTAGTGGGGTGAGTCGGAAGGTAGTTAATTTGATATAAGGCTTGTAGGAAGGACTAATTAAAATAGATCTACTTTTGGTTTTAAAATGCTTTTTCCTTACTTTGTCTGCTATGGGCTTTGTCCTAACGAAGAAATGACCAACGAGCGGTGTTCCAAACCTGCAGTAGGCCATGCTCAGTTGGAACTGGTTCCCCGTACCAAAGTCTTGTAGCTTCTGACTTTTCTGGATCCTGTGACCTTAGGAGCTTTATTTTATGCTGTACCAGCCATGCAGAGAACACGCAGCTCTCAAACCATCCCACTGTATGTAAGTTTCTCTGCAGGGCGCAAGCCCACCGCTCACAGCCGAGGCCTGGTGAAAAACGTCCAGAGAGCAGCGAGGCTCAGCCACGCACCGAGCTGTGCCACTGGCCCTGCCAGTGCCCACCAGTGCCCACCTGCAGCCCCGGGGTGAGCCTGCTGAAAGACGGCTGTGGCTGCTGCAAGGCCTGCGCCAAGCAGGCTGGAGAAGTCTGCAACGAGGTGGACATCTGTGATCCCCACAAGGGTCTCTACTGCGACTACTCGCAGGATGAGCCTAGGTATGAAACAGGCGTGTGTGCATGTAAGTCGTTCTTTCACGTTCTATTCTGCAAATCCAGGAGGGTGGGAGCCCGGCTTGATGGAGCCGTGCAGCTCTGTGCTGTGTGATTTGTACAAACGCACACTGGTTGGGGAATCTGAGAACGGGGCAGGGACTGTCTTTATGCTTTCTGCCTACCAGCTCACTGTGCATAAGTTTGCTATTTGCTGATATGTTACAAGGCTAATTTAAAGCAGGACAGCTGTAGTTATCATTGAGGTCAAACAAAATTGTGCATGGGCTGGGAAGAATTTGAAGCTAAGAATGGAGGAAAGGATGATTGCATCAAGCACTTAGTGAGCAAGAATCCAGTGCTCCCACTGTGTTAGTAACTTTCGTTTACCATTTGCAGATCTGGTTGCTGTAGGGTGTGAGCTCAATGGCATTTACTATCTCAATGGGCAGACTTTCCAGCCTAACCCACTTTACAAGTGCCTGTGTATCAGTGGTGCAATTGGATGTACTCCTGTATTCACACCAAAATTAGCATCAAGTCCCTGCTCCAGTGGCACGGGTAGGAAGAAGACTGGACAGAGGGTGTGTGGCCCAGGACAGAAGCACCTTCAATCAATCAACTACAGGCGGATGTCAGGTGTGCCCTGCTATGCTGGTAACAACTCTGAGCACGAGCCTTGCCCCCTTCAGTGTCCTTGCTGCAGCAGCTAGGATGACTGCATGCTGGCTACTCCTGTTCTCCATCATGGCCCTTACCAGGGTGTCTGCTCTGTCCCAATTACCCCTTTTACTTTCAAGTCACAGATTCTTTTCTCTAAACTCACAGATTACACAGAATCACAAGGTTGGAAATGACCTGCAAGATCATCTAGTCCAACCATCCTCTCATTCCTATTAGTACCACAAGCTACTAAATCATATCTCGTAGCTCCTCATCCAGGCGCCTCTTGGACACTGCCAGGGACGGCGACTCCACCACCTCCCTGGGCAGCCATTCCAGTGCCTGACCACCCTTTGAGAGAAAAAGTTTCTCCTAATATCCAACCTAAACCTCCTCTGGTATAACTTCTGGCCGTTTCCTCGGGTCCTACTATTTGCCTGGAAGAAGAGGCCAGACCCTTTTGCACCACAACCTCCCTTCAGGAGGTTGTAGAGTGCAATGAGGTCTCCCCTGAGCCTCCTCTTCTCCAGACTGAACAATCCCAGCTCCCTCAGCTGCTCCTCATAAGACTTGTGCTCCAGACCCCTCACCAGTTTCGTTGCCCTTCTCTGGACACGTTCCAGGGCCTCAATGTCTTTCTTGTAGTGAGGGGCCCAAAACTGCACACAGTACTCGAGGTGTGGCCTCACCAGTGCTGAGTACAGGGGGATGATCACCTCCCTGCTCCTGCTGGCCATGCTATTTCTAGTGCAGGCCAGGATGCCGTTGGCCCTCTTGGCCACCTGGGCACACTGTTGGCTTGTGTTCAGCTGAGCATCAACCAACACCCCCAGGTCCCAGTGCACATGAGAAGCCTTTTTTCTTCTGTTGATAGGGAATACCCACTGCTACCTTTAGCCCATCTTTCTGCAGAATTTCACTGCTTGTCAGATCTGCCTTATTAGGGCTGCTGATGGACAGCCATTTAGCAGCCCAGGAATTTTCTTGTTTTCTCTCCCTTTGTGGTGGTAGGGAATCTTGGTTTTCAAGACACAGATTAAAACATTGCAGGCTCCATTTTCAAGTGGAAAGCAGGAAATTATAGACTGCCTTAGCAGCTTTCCTCAACTCACAAAACTTCACTCACTGTGAGGACAACCTTCCCTCCAATTTCTTCTCTATGCAGTGTGATCAAAACCACACATTTTATCCACGCAGTTCTGCTATGGTCAGCTGATCCTCCCTTCAACCTTGTTCCTGTTCTGCTGCAGTACTCTCATTTACTTTGGGAAAGGACCACTGACAGAAGCAGCTTTCCCGGCCCTTCCCTATGTCTGGATCCTCCCCTCAGGCCTTCTGTTCTCTCCTTCCTTTTGCATGTGCATATTTACATTACAAAATACATCCTCATTTCAACTAATATGGGTACCAGAAAGCCGAGCTGCTTATTTGGTGGCAACTTAAATTATGGGGAAATGATGGCCTGAATCATCAACATGGATCAATACAATAAAAAGGGATCACAAAGCTTACCAAAAATGCTTATCAAAAAAATCCCCAAATACTGAAGGAGCACATGAGCCAATCTGCAGATAAACAGACTGAAGATACAATCAGTTCAGTTTGGACAATTTCTAAAATGTTAACAGCGGTTATACAAGTTTGCAAAAATGAAAAAGGAAGCACATCTTTGTTGCAAAATTATAATACCTAGTGTCAGAGACCTTGTAGAGAAATCTATGTGATGCAGTGAGTAAAACCACACTCAGTAAAGGCAACCAATTTCAAATGTAGTGCATTTCTAGAGAGCGTTACTAATCCGACCAGAGAGGGACACGCATTGACAACAATGGTAATCAAAACATCTGACCCACATTAGGTAGGAGCATGGGGAGACAATGCCCAGCGACTCTTTGGGCCAATGAGAGTATTTGGAAATAGTAGATAAAGTTAAAATGAGAAATGGCAAATGTGCAAAAAAAACCCAAAATAAGTGTTTATAATAAACTTCTTCCTCACCCTATCTTCCTCTGAAGAAATCTCCTTGAAATTTTGCTTCAAAATGAGGTCTTCCCCCTTCCCTTTTCCAGTACAGCAAAGCAAATTACCATGCAAATTTGTGCATCAACTGCATCAATGGCTCAATAGGCTAATATCTACATGGAGATATATATATATATATATAGATATATTTTAAAGTTTTAATTAATTAATTTATTTATTCCCTTGCTAGCATGGATAACAAGTGCTAGATTTCTCTTCATTGCTCTTAATGTTTTCTGGATTTCCTTGTCCAACTTTGACCTAACTTAGATATTTAGGGATGTGCAGAGGTTATACTTCGAAAATGTATGAAGTATAAGCAAACATTAAGCTTCCCTTTATTTACTGCAGATCTGGGACAGGCTTTTAATCTGCTTATTGCAAAGAGATCTTAAAACTGATGTCTACTTTCCAGGTATCCTTGTAATTCTGCCAGTCATCTAACATGCAGATGTCATCTAAATGCAGATTCCACAGACACCAAGAATTTCTACACAATTTTTTTTTTCTTAAACAAAACCTGGTCTTCACAGTGTCTAGCAGAAATTGGGACTAATGGTTACATCACTCTCCTATTTGAACTGTATTTAGCCTTAAATAATCAACGATTCTTCCACTCTGGCCATTTTATAAAAATTCCACAGGTAACTCTTCACACACTATTTTCTTCATATTAAACAGAAGGGCCATACAGCACATGCAGTTTTATAGCCTTTGCTAGGATACGAGTGTCAATAAATTTTAAAGGCAGCTCAGCGCTAAGACGTCTAAATAACTTTTTAAGGCCTCATCTTTAGATTTACTTGCATGAGCAGAAGCCTAACGCTTATCCTTTTTATATTCAGTTAATCCTTTTGGGGTTATTCTGCTGCGTAAGTAATATATTGCTGCTTTAGCTTACAGAACCTTACCACTAGTTTTAAAGAAAAAGTGTCTGGTGCAGGCAACTCCTTGGACACCGTGTTCCAGAACCTGTGGCATTGGTATATCCAGCAGAGTGACCAATGAAAACAGGAAGTGTGAAATGAAAAAAGAGAAGAGATTATGCTTCATCCAGCCTTGTCTGACCAATATCCTGAAGACAATAAAGGTATCTTCTCATAAATGAGGGCTGCTCCAAAATTAACGCTTCCAATTTGATTATGTAGGCCCACATCATCAGAGAAAGATGTTGGTGGTATGGGAGTAGAAGTTGAACCTTCCCGTCAATATTCCATTATGCTTTGTTGCTGTATGACTGAAGGCAGCAGAAGGGCAGTCTGAAACAAAGGCACCTGATACATAAGTGCACATGAAGCAAAGGTGTGTGTCACTGAATTCCTCCATGGGGAGAAGTGGCACCCACTGACATTCATCAATGCTTGCTGAACGCTTACGGAAACCAAACAGGGGAAGTGAGAGCAGTGAGGCATCAGCAGAGTGGGTGGTATGTTTCATCACTGGTAACTGTGGGCCACCTCCACAGGCTGCAGGTTTTCATGAGCGTGGCATGCAGGTTCTTCTTCATTACTGGTAAAAATGCATGGCCAATGGTGCTGACTATGCTGGAAAACACTGTTTTGTAGCTGAGAATTTCCTGTCATATAGTGTTATTTTACTCCTTGCATCTCTTGCAGTTTCCAAGGAAATAAATAGGAGGCATTACTGTTAGAGCAACCTCTGTAAAATGACTTGGTAGTAGAAAACAAAAATGCCAGAAGTAATGGAAAAATGGATGTGTTAGTAAATACTTTTAAGTCATAAAACAACACTTCTCCTTTTTCTACCTTTAGTTGCCAACTCTTAATAGTAAGCTACAGATGTATAATTTCGAAGTGCTGTCATGCTGCTTGGCCAACCAAAATATTTTTATTTGTTTACTGAAAGAAAAATAAGACAGCTTTTAGTAGGCGTAATTTTCAACATATTTCTATGTAAACATCACAAGTTTTTTTTTCATGGTCTGTTTTCCATGTGTAAAAACATAAGCTTTTTTTTTGTTGTTGTTTTACAGATTCCAAAAGGAAAAACATGCCAACCAACATTCCAGTTCCCTAGAGCAGAGAAACTATTTTTCTCTGGATGTTCAACTACACAAAGCTACAAGTTAACTTTCTGTGGGGTATGTATGGACAAGAGGTGCTGCGTACCTAATAAGTCCAAAATGATCACTCTCCAGTTCGAGTGCCCCAATGAAGGCTTCTTCAAGTGGAAGATGATGTGGATAACATCTTGTGTATGCCAGAGGATTTGCAGTGATCCAGGAGATATATTTTCTGAACTCAAAATTTTATGAATTAACACCACTGACTGTAACGTGCTGCAAGGGTGACAAGCACATTCACATCCTGAAGAATCAGCATTATCTGTCACCCCAGCAATGTTTGTAGTCAAACTATAAATGTAAATATTCATTTAAAAAAACACATTTGAAAAATCCACGTAAGAAGGTATCCTTTTAAACTTAACTGTTGCAGTATATGGAAATACATTCTCAAGAATTGTGTAACACTACTGTCAAAAGGAGAACTCCTTGTAATTCAAGAAAGCACAGTGAGACTGCTTGGTAACCTACCATAACACCTTGTCCAACAAGACAAATACATTTAGATTCACAGATGCTCTGACTAATCTATACAAAAGCAAACAAACAAACAAACAAAACAAAACTGACCCTGTAACATCATCTATTATTCTTGATTCTCAAACTAACATCTTCTACCATGTATCTTCAAACTCAAAACAAAGGCAAAACACATGAATGCTGTTGTAAACAGGATAAATTAATTGCAAGACCCAAATACTCTTTACAGCAGATAATCTCTCTACTGCTGTGAATATAAACAATGTCCTTTGTAAAGGAAGACATAAGGCAGCTACAGATAAGAGAACTGCAAGATTTGAAGGAAATGCATATTTGGAATGCTTAAAGAAACCCCAAGAAAGTGTTATTACAAGGTTTTATTGATGATTTCTGGACTCATACACTGAAAATTGTGCCTACTTATACACCCATTCAAACTCTGCTAAAAGGATTTCAAGGTTTAGATCATTGCATTGGCCCACTCTGATTTGTAACAGTTCACCAGTCCTTGCGTTCTGAAGAAGTCAAGGTTGGAAAGTAAACAGGAAATAGCTGTACATTCTGCAAAAGTTCTTAATATAATGTAATATAGAAATCTACCGACCTTGGTAATTATAAATATTAAAACATCTATTTTACTTGCATTCTTTAAACATATAAACTTTGTTTACCTAACAGTCTTTACTGTGTGTTTTTCACTCAGAGGTATGCTATATCATCTCATTATCAAGTGCAATTCACCATTTATGAACATGAATCATTAAAATCACATGTTAATTAATGCTCCAAATATAAAATGTCAAAGAAAATGCATTTTGGTAAATCCCCCCTGAAACCATCCACTTTACTATCAGCTCAGAATACTCTAATACAGCTAGGTACAACAATGAAGTGAAAAAATTTTAAATTATGAACATAGCTTAGAGCATTCCAAAATGACTGCTTGTCTGCAAATTTTCAGAAACAAGTTCCATTAGAGGATTGCTTTCATCTTGGAAGAGTATGCAGTTTTCCTTCTCTTCGTTGCTTTTTAAAAACAGCTAAAGAAAAAAGCTAGCAATAGCGATCTTTCTTCGAACCAAGGCTTGCTTTCAGTTCACTGTAAGCTCAAAGTCTGGAAAAAGCATTACCTTTTGGCTGCTAGTACTTCTCTTTCTTCTCTTTGCAGCACATGGCATGTCGATTTACTCTACAGTTTGGAAGAACTTTCCTGATATTTGCCATAATTAAGTGCCTTCAAACCTTTCCTACAGGCTGGGCCTGTCACTTTATGTGACACTTCAGAGAGCTGAGGAAGCAGTTACCCCAGCCTCGCTTTAGAATGACAATAGGTAGGCGCTCTGCAATTCATTTGGGTTAACTGAAGTGGTTGGATGCTTGGGGATTTTATTTTTTTTAAATCAAAGTTCTTCTTTACACAGCTATCTTCAGTCTTGATGGGGCTGTTCTAAACCCACCTTTTGTGGCATCCAGTTCGTTATACTCTTCTATTAGGTCAGACAAGGATGATATGGCTTCAGAAAAACAGCCTTGCTCCATCCCGTCTACTTGCAGATAATGGTGAAGATGAGCCTATGAGAATAATGAACTCAGTGTTACTCCCTTTATTGGCACATAACGTAATCTATTTGCCTCACTAAGTATTATTTGGCCTGCACTGAAGAACTGTATAAAGTAGATTTGAAGACATGCCTTGACAACCCCTGCTTACATAATTAACAACTTCAGTAACAATCTGTGGAATCACGGTATTACGGATTTCTTACATATTAATCTGTTCACATTTTGTCTTTGGTAGACCTCAACAAACTGGTAGGCACATCCACTGGATACTGGCTCGTGGCTGAAGAAGTAAATATATCCCCTAGTAGGGTATGGGTTAATAAGGGATTTGTTCTTTTTAAGCAGCAGCTGTTAGAATGATTCCTTGATAGATAACACAGTTAAAAATCTTGGAATATTACTTTTAAGCAGTCCCTCTATGATTCTAAGATTTCTTTCCCTGTAATCCAAGGTGCTATGATTGCTGGCTGTGGATGACATACTTATGACAGAGCCATACCTTTTTCTTGTAGAGCTTCATGAATCTGTCTTTGAGTTCCATAAAAGTTGGTTTCACACAGGTGTTGTTTGCTAAAGCTAGAAGGGAATGGGTATGGCCCACAGGAGGTACAGAACACAAACCAGTTTTCCAGCCCTCCTGATTCCACGATACAAAGTGCAGAGAAGGCTTCAACCTGTGATAAGAAAGAGTACAGTTACTTATGAAATATAAAGAGAACAGAGCCAAAGTTTCCTTTGCTAACAGTTAGCAAAGGTTAATTCTGAAGCTTTCACAACTAAGTAAACCAGTCAGAATTAGCATTTTGAATAAGGCATTTTAGATCCCAGACTGAAACAGCACGTATTTAAAATTCACACAGTAAACACCAATTTCGTTAATTTAACATATCAGGGTTTGAAAAGTAAAGTTACAAGCATGTATGCCTATAAAAGCAACTGCAAACACATAGATTTATGAGAGAGGTAAATGTGTGGGGATGAGTCTACCTGATATAGGTAAAATTATTTTGATGCTCAGAACTTTTCCTTACGCACCCATCTGCCTCCATTCTGCACTCCGTTCCACCTCCCCTGTTGCACCTACATAGGTCACAATAGTGTAAAAAGTAGAAACTGAGTGTGAACTACAGCAGAGAGCCTATTCCTTCAAAATCCCATAGCAGTAAGAGACCTCCGGAAGGCCAGCCTTCATCTTTTTAAATTATTAAGAATGGAGGGGAGGAGAACAGGCACACCTAGTCAGCTCCCTTTATTTGGAAATCAAAGAATGCCATGACTTACTCTAACTTGTTAAGAAAGCTATTTACATTTTCTTTCTTTCTATCTTTCTTCAATTACTTTACATGACAAAAAGTACTTAATTGGTACTGAAATTCCTCAGATGAAAAACTGAGAATTCCCTGGACAACTGAAAAATATTTATATGAAAAATAACACGATTACTTTGTGTGCTATTACAAACCTTTCAATGTTTCTGCGAAGGTCTGAGATCTGCACATTCCCTCGAACAAGAAGTGCACAAGCAAGGTAGAGGCTATGCTTTGGATCTGCTTGAATTAATTGATGATCTCTACTAAAAGCATCTGAAAACATTTGATCCAACCTAGGTGAAGATGAAAACAGTCATCTACTCTATTAAAGCAGGCTACAGAAGTTCAAAATACCCACCCTTCAGGGTTTCAAATTTCCTGAAATCTTGGAAATAAAGGTACATTTAATCTCGGACCACATAAGGACAGCAAAATCAAAATAACTTAATGGTGTGGGTTCTATTTAATATCCAGAAATACGTGGCTCCTAGCAGAATTGTTTCCCAATAGACATAGTAAAAACATTTCAAGTCTGCTGGCTCAACCATTAATGAGAACAGGGACAAATAGTGTTCTCCAAATGAGTAGAATGAATTTTCCAGTGTGGCAGGCTTTAAAACCCTTTTGGACTTCTGCCTTTAGTTTTGCTATAGAATTCTTAGAATTCTTTTTTTTTTTTTAATTTTTATTTTTTTATTAAATGGAAACTATGGATGAAATTAAGAAATTAAGCTTCACTGTAAAGTCTCCACAACAAAGTTTTCTTCTTACCTTCTAGAGGGTATATTAACATCAGCCAGTGTATACAGAGGAGTCAAACTTGAAACCAAGTAATGAAGCCGAGGAAATGGAACCAAATTCATACTGATTTCATTAAGATCCATGTTAAGGGAACCTTCGAACCTAGCAGAGCTGAAAAGTTAACAGATGTTACAAAATAGTTATAAACTAAGAATGTCACTCTTATAATGTAAACATTCATTAAATATACACTTCAACTGTTCCCTGCAATAAAACAGTAAAACAATATCTATAGATAAAACAGTCATCTATAATTATTGAACTTCCACATTTGGCAGTAACACTGCTATTCTTATTTCTTTACGCTTTTCATTGTAGAACAACTAATGATCAAAAATGAGACCTTAATGTTCCTGATTGTAGTTCTTAGCATTCTTCTTTAATGTGCAGACATAACTGGTTGATACCAATTTAAATAAATAGGATAGTACATAATGAAACACGTATGACTTAGCAGCCCTGAAAAGCTGTTCAGACCACAGCTTTAAAAATGCTTTTTCAGCAAGAATTCCTTACAGCAATAGACAGTTCAGGAACAACTGTCAAATGGTATTTATAAAATAATAACATTGGCCTAGAAATTCTAACTTCCTTGGGCACTATTAGGCACTAATGGAAGACAATATCCTGCCCCAAAACCTTCTCCTACTTCAGTTCTAAGACCATCACAGCTACAGCAACACCACTGCAATACGAATAGTTTCAAACACTTCAGATTTTCATTACTTTAAGAACTAATTCTTAACAAGACTAATATCAAATAGAAAACAATACTGAGCTGATGCAGGCACACATATTTGCAGCACACACTGCCTCTAGCAATATTGTACAGAGGAGTGATCTGTGACTTTACCTTGTCAGGTTCAGCAGCAAGTTGGCTACAATGTTGTTCATTGCATCAAATGGCTTCTCCTGCACAGTTTTTGTAGTGCCTGCACTTGATGTTACCAAGCTGTTTGGCTTCACAGTTGACCCCACCTTCCCAGAACTGACCATCTGATGAATTTTAGTAACTATATCAAACAGAGACTTTGAAAGGAAAAAGAAACACTGACAAAAAAAAAAAAACAAACAAACAGAAAGCATACAAACCTCATCCCCAGAACATCCAAATTCCATACCGCTATTTTTCCACTTCAGTTAATCTTAAAGAAAAAAACTAAGATATGGTAATGACAGTTCAAACATTACAACTTTGATTCAAACATGTTCAACTTTTGACCAGTTCCAACTGGCTGAAGTGTTCCTGAACATCCTTTCCCTCCTTGTCACAAACACGGATAGTTTGACTCAGAACTTTGACTTCGAATTGAAGTCAGTTTGAATTTGAAATCATTAGTCATTCCTCTTGTAAGCACTTAAACAATACTACACACAAAACGATGCTAAAAGATTTGAGGCTCAGCCTCAGTAAACAGGAGCATCTCACTTTTTACCTTTGAATAAGACACAAAAAGAAAAATCACTCCAGACTACTTTGCACATGGAAACAAAGTATAGAGCATCTTTTAAGTGATTTCACTTCAAAAGTCTACAAGTTACCGAGGAGCTCAATTATGATTAAATAAACAAAGACTTTCTTTTTAAGACTTGGCATTCAAATCAATGCAATCTAATAAGAAAAAAAAGGACAGAAATAGTATGCTATTTCTTACTTCATTCTCTATTGGTAGCACACAGTCTGCATGTTCATTAAGCTCCTTCATAGCCAGAACACTGTTATATGGAGAAGTAATAACATCATCTTCACCGGAGGGATAAACTGAAGTAACAAATCTATACACTTCTGGGAATTCATCCTCAAGCAAATTCAGTACAAAAGTTCCAAGACCAGATCCTGTCCCTAAAAATAAGTAGGAACGACAATGGAATGAAAGAAGATTAAAGAAATCCTCCAAGTTCTTACAAGCATTAAGTCTCATATGTTGGAAACATACTAGTTTTAATTTTATGTATATTCCAGCATTTTGAAGGCAGCAGGAGCTCTCTGAATGAAAGAAAGAAGCAAGCTTTTTCAAAGACAAGTAAATAACTGAATGATATTTCTCAGATTTTATTAGACAGGATGAAGTGAATAGTTTTAAGCATTTGCTCAACGAGTCCTAATATGTCACCAGAATTTCTCTGCTCTTTCCTAGCATTTTAAAATCTTTAATTTGAATCTTGAAATATTTGTTTAAAAAAATATTGAGCCAATCCAAATTATTTAAGTTTACTTTTTTTGAGGATTTTTTTATAAAACTCTCTTGTTCTCCAGTTAAAACAATAACCCCTTTGCACCAGCACAAATACTTTTTTCCTCATAGCATTAAGTTCAAATCAGAGAATTAGGTAGCTTTTTTTTTTTCCCCTGTCACATACAGTTAACATTTTCAGCAGCAGACAATGAACAACACAGCTATTTTCTGTAATAATGGAAATTCCTTCTCAGATTAAGCAAATGACCACAAAAAAGGCCTTTGATAAAACTCTTGCACCATATTTAGAGCTATTTTCAGAGTCTATTTCCATATCATAGCTGTTTATAATACCTGCTACCCTCAAGTTTCTGGGAGAGGATTGCTCAGTGGCAACACAGAAAGGATGTGACTGATTCTCCCTTCAGGTTTATTAACAAAATAGGTGGAGTGAATGCAAAAAGAATTGTGTGGAAGGAAATGTAAAAAAGCAAACAAACAAACCAAAAACAACAAAACTAAAGTAGAACAGAAGCTAAGCAACATCAGAAGTCTACAAAACCTTTCTGAAAACACTTCCCCACAATTAAAAACTTGATCACTACAATGATGTCACTGTTTTGAGGCAGCTACCCCTTCTGATCAGTATTACTCAGCTTTTTCTTGTATTCGCCACCTATTTTGATCCATCCACTGTCTTTTCTTGTCTCTAAGATTTAAGCTGTACTTCTAGGTAGCACTTAGTAAAGTAAAAGTTCATGATTAGGGCTCCTCAGGGACTGTGTTATTTCATTCTGCATTCTTCATGATTAGATGATTACAGCAATCTTTGTTTCAAGACTTAGGCTTTCATTTTTATTTACCTGTGGCAGATGCAACCATACTAACAAAGATATACTTACCACCTCCCATAGAATGAATTACAAAAAAACACTGCAGACAGTCACAGTGTTCTGCAGTTTTCCTCAGCTTTTCCACTATGCTCTCCTGGTACTGGCAGCCATACACCTTGTAACCTACAGCCCTGAGGATAAGAAAAGTACTTTAAAAAAAACACCACAATAAAACACTGTAACAACCAATCTTCAGTTTTCATTTTATTTAACTCCCTCTCTTTGATGTTTTGTATAGTATTGCTTAATAATTCAGAGTCCAGAGCTGGATGTAACCCCCAACTTGTTAGCTGCAAAACTTGACTACATCACAGAAACATGGGAGTTGAGATGTGCTTTTAAATTTGAGAATGTAGCAATCAGTTCACAGCTTTTGATCCTGCATTACCGTTTTACATAGTAAGAAAATAAATATCCATGCTAGGTGATCAAATTTTAACTATGATCTGAAAGTTACATCTGTTATCAGTGAGGACATCCTTGTATAAAAGTGATCTGATCTTCATTTGAGTTCTAGGTGAGTTATTTGCTACCAGTGACAAAGAAACCAAACAGACCATTCTCATCACACTTGCCTGCTGTTAGGTGGTGAGCCTATTCCCAATATACCTTCAGTATATTTGTAAATCATTTGATTCTCAGCCTGTGCTGGACTGAAAATTACCAGAGGTACATTAGCATATCAGTGAAAATGTGAAATTTATTATGTTAATGAATCTTCTTCTGAATTTCTCTTTTTGATAATATAATTTATCTGCACTATGCCAGCAACCACAACGCTTAGAAATCTGAACATCTTATTTCCATGGTAGGTGCACAGTCCCAAACTAGATTATGGCTCTAACAGAGAAATGGAAGCAGCTGAATTTCAAAGAAACAAAAATATAAAACCTGTTCTTCTGTAAAAAGTAATCAAGAAGCAGCAGAAAAAAAAAAAAAAAAAAAAAAAAAAAAAGCATACAAAATGATTTATCAGCAGAATTATCTTTCTGTAAAATGGTTTTCAAAGCCCTCCTCCAGGTGACAGTGACTCCAAAGTTCACTGGTAATATGCTGCAGCAGAATGAACCAGAATGCTACCGTTATCATTCCCCTTTTCAAAAGCTTTCCAATTAGTTGCTCTGAAGAGGATCTCACCAGTTGTTTCCTGAACCAGAAACATCTGTGATAAGCTGCTTACTATCAAAAACATCTCTCAACGGTCCCTGCAGAATTTCATTCACCACACCCTCCTCCATGTCAATCAGCAGCGCCTGTGAGAAAGAAAAGCATTGAAATTCAGTCAGTAAGCAAGCTGATCTTTGAAATAATTACAAAATAAGGGAAAACATCTACAATAGTAAAGGTACGTTGTTACTGTTGTGCTTCAGAGAGTTGCTGCTGACCAACTTGTCAAGTTCACCCTGACTGCTTTGTTAGCTAATGCATAAAGAGCACAGCATTTCAGATACTGCAACTGTTAACATTGTAAAAATACTTTTCCCAAATACTTGGGAGCAAAGGAATTAAAACAGGTACATTTCAGGTTTTGTTCCTTCTTAATCACTTTAAGTGGCTCAAAAAAAACCCACATCCCTTAGTTTTTTTTTTTTTTAATAAATAATTGGTACTATCTGCAATTGTTTTATTAAAATTGTACTTTAAAAAAACAAGTAAAACTCCCCCAAACCATAAAGCTACTATTAGAAATTTTGCTATTCAAAATACTTAAAAACATACGAAGTATTAGGAAAATCCCTATGCAATCAGACATAAATAAGTGGTGTAAAAATAATAGTCTTCATAAATTGCCTTACTCGTGCTTTTAAAGAACAAATCTTTCCTTTGTAAATATCAGGACCATTACCAGCACTTCTGAAAAACAAAAGCAACATTCCAAGTTTAGAACTGTAACAGAAAATAAGGCAATATATATTGGAATATAATTCCCTCCTTAATTTTTTATTGTTCAGAGTAACAAACACCCTGAAATGTAACCTGCTACAACATGCCTCATATTTTCCCCAAAGAACACAGTTACAGAATACAATCTCAATGAGAAATATCCTAAGCAGTACTTCAGGAGAATGAAAAAGGAAAGCATGGAAAGTTTCCTCTCCCATAGAGCCTTTGATCTAATTCTACAAGCACTGCCAAAACTGAAAGCAACAACCTTTTTCCTAGCATGTGGTACATTACATCACATAGCAGAACACACTGCACCAGATAACACTGCTACACTTTCAATGGGGGAAGCACAGCACTGTTCTACTGCTCCAGGCTTGAAAGCAGTACAATTGCACTAGGACAGAGCTGTGCTTGACTTATTTTGCCACTAAGATCTACTAACTTAGAAACCACGCTGTGTTGACACAGGCTTTATCAGCCTTTTTTCCAGGATTGGTTGCACTGAATCAGCCCACAGGGCTGTGCATTGCATAAAATCATATTTCTTCCCCATAATGAATGCTGGTGCTTTGCACTCAAACGATGAGATAATCTATTCTGGTCCAACTGCATTCAAGGCTGTAAAAAAACAAAACAAAAAAAAAAACAAAAATAAAACCAAAACAAACATGAAACAGAAAAGAAAAAGGATACTAGAAGATGGTTCAATCCACCTAGTTTAGGGGGCAATCAGCCTTAGTTTTAAACAAATCAAAGTACGTCTTACCGTGTTCTACACTCAATAGCAATAACATTCTAAAACAACAGTGGAAAGCACTAAATGTTTTGACTGTGCTCATTCCCATCACAAACAAGTGAAAAAAGGGAGGATGGGCCTGCAAGGGATTCCCCAGGGAGCTCCTATGCTCTCATCCAAAGCATTTTTCCAAACACTTCTCCATAGCTGAGCGGCTCACAGCAGCCTACAGGACTCACACTGATTACTCCAGCCTATGCGTTTCAATGTACGAGTCCACAGTCAGAGTAAGTTCTATTTCTCTTCAGGGACTAACAAAACCTGGAGAGAAAATAAACAATAGCAAGAAAAGCCCACCTTTATCTCTCTCTTACCAGTCCTTGTGGTCTTTCATGACCACCTGTACTTTCAATCACACGCATTGAGCTGCTCACAAAAATCCCTGCATTCCTTACAGTCTCCCTGGATTATCTAAGACATCTTTTCTGCATATAAAGCCATACATTTTTTATTGAGGTCATCCTATAACCACTAGTTCTTGTTGACTGAATAAAATACACATGATCTTTGGAGTAAGACATCATCTTCTATATTTAATAACGTTTGGGTGCCTCAATTTACCACTAGAACACTCAAACATGAAAACTGTGTTATACAATCAGCCCATTAGCACATGTTGTTATCTCATATGTTCACTATATATCTGGGTAATTATTTTGCCTGATCTAAGATGCTTCTAATAGCTATTGTTATACAGCCATCTTATACAGCCAATCTTCTTGCCATTGCTGACACAAATACAGAAGGCTGTTCTCTTTGCTGAATATTCTGACATCTGGTTTCTAGAAAATGAATACCAGCAGCAGCTTCTACTGTAGAAGGTGTGTGTTCTTGAAGCACGAGATGAGCAATCATCATGTTGATGAATTTTTGCAGTCTGAACCAAAAAGCTTTTAAACTCAAAAACCACATCCCTCCACAAGGTATGCCAATAGCTTCAGTTGCCAGCTGTGATTTGTATTCCCTGGGAAAGGAAAAGGAAGGGCAAAAGAATTTGTAACATAGTGGTTGAAGTGTAAAAATAAGTGATTTCAGGCAGTAATTCTATCCCAGATGAAAACACATTTTTTACTTGAAAAATAAACAAATAAAACTTTCTTTCCATTGTGCAGTTCACTGGCAACCAAAGCATCTTCCTACTGCAGTCGACAGCAGAGTTAAGAGTGCAGATGTTCAGATCCCTCATTATTTCAGTACTAGTGTAAAATGCTCTGTAGACAAGTCACAAATCAGAGAATTTACATAAAGCCACTTCCAATCCTACACCATTTAATAAGTATCAGTAAAAAAAGAGAGAGTCTATCTAGATCTGCCAGTGTTTTTACAGACTTTCCTTACATGATAATCCACCTACATTAATTACTCAGAGAAGTGGTATAACGTAGCATAGAAAACTGAAATTTGTCATTTTTCTAACACAGGGTTTTATGACTGCAGTGACATGGGAAGTGAAGTATTTCTTTTTGATAAAACTAAATCAAAACTCACAACAGAAGACCAAAACATTGCTATTTGCCACAGAGTTTGAATTTCTTTTTCCTTAAGTTGTAGTAATACTACAGTCAAAAGCAGGGAGTGTTCCTTTTACATGGGAATCATCACAAAAGATGAAATCTCACAGGGGAACCTTGCTTGACACTTCTACAGGGCTCAACAAGGTAAATCCTTCTCCTTTACAGAGAAATTGCACTCAACCTGTTGAAAGTTCAGTGGTTCCATCTGGCACATATAAAAACACAGACATTGCTTACAACTAGATCTTCTGGATTAAAAAAAATATATATTCTAAGAAAATTTCTAAGCAAATACTCTTCTAAGAAAAGAATTGAGATAAAACACTACTTCAATGCCATTTTAGTTAAAATGGCATGCTATGCTTCTGCTGTGTAATGGAAGGAAACAAAGGCTGGTCTAATGCCTTTTCTCTAATTGGAATGTAACAATAATACCTAGGTGTCCAATTGTTCCATTCTTATCAGCAAACTGGAAGAGCTTTTGTAACTGGACAGACATACAATGAAACGCTCCTAAGGTATGAACTGAGCAACTTAAATCACAGCCACTGCTCTGTGCAGCAAATTACAGATAAAAGTCAGATAAAATAGATTTAAAAATTGACACAGCCGTTTCTGACCACCTTATAAATAATTCCATTTACAAGTCTTCAGTGAATGCTGCTAAGTTAGTATTCAGACAGCTTGCAGACTCATCCTGAGCAAAAGATCTTAACTATCCATTTTTTCCGATGTAAGGAAAGGAAAGCAAAACCAAACACCTGCAATACATTTAACTACTGCAATAAATATAATGAAAAGGTAGTGCCTTGAGAAGACAAAAAAGCAGAATCTTTTTCTAATGCAAACTACATCTGGTGTGAAAAAAAGGAGCTTTAATTTAGGTTAAGATGAGATGCTAGCACTGTTAATCTGTGTTAAATCCACAGTTTCCTGATAAGAAGACTTACCTCGTATCTACATTCCTAAAGAAACTGCTCAGTGCTTCATCATAAATTCCTTTCTGGAAATAGACAATTTAAGATAAGATGGTGTGTCAGAAGTACTCAGTGCTTTTTCACAGAATAACTTAGGTTACAGTGAATTCTTGGAGGTCACCAGCCAAACTTCCCACTCTCCAAACAGGGTGAGCCATCTATGTCCAATCCAGATAGCTCCAGCCAGCATTAAAAAGAAAATTTCATAGAACCCAAGAATATCCTGAGTTGGAAGAGACCATCAGAGACCATACAGTTCAAATCCTGGCTTTACACAAGACCACCCAAAGTTCAAATCCTATGTTCAAGAGCATTGTCCAGACACTTCTTGAACTCTGGCAAGCTTGGTGCCATGGCCAATGCCCCGCAGTCTGTGCCAGTGCCTGACCACCCTCTGGTGAGGAATGTTTTCCTGATCTCCAACCTGAACACCCCTGTTTGCAGCTTTGTTGAATTTCACTCAAGCATCAGTTGATATTAAAAACTGTCAGGAGGATGTAACCAGGATTTCTCTTTCTTTTTTCAGCAGAGGATTAAACAAATACTTTTACTTCATTTTTAAATATTTTGGATTTTACTGAAGATCCCAATGAAACTATTAAATCACAAAGCTGCTGTTTAGCTAATTCAGCTTAGTGATGTGACATGGAGACAGTCACGCCCACCATGCTCTGTAGAAGTGAAAGCAGACTGCTCCATTGGTAATTTCTGAACTCCCTGCTGAGCAAATCACTGCTGCTGGGCAAATCACTTTTCCCAGCATAAAGCTAAAGATATTTGTCAACTTAATACACAGTCACATTTTTTTTTTTTTTTCTGAAGACCTGATGATACAGTGTTTGGAAAATCTGTAACACATAAACTAAGGGACTCTCAATACACACAGGAACTCCACCTGTTACCTTTTTACAGCTACTTCAGCAAAAGGTGTTCAGGACTGCCCACTATCACCTCTGTTAACTGAAGGTATCTGCTAGGAGCAGTATTTCTATAATTATACCAAGAAGGATGCATTTTTGTTGAAAGCACTTAGCATAATCCCGTGCCCTCTTTACAGCACAGTGACCCTGACTGCACTGTATGCATGAGCATGGGGTAGGAAAGATGGGCTTATCATAGAATGGCCTGGGTTGAAAAGGACCATAATGATCATCTAGTTTCAACCCCCTGCTATGTGCAGGGTCACCAACCACCAGACCAGGCTGCCCAGAGCCACATCCAGCCTGGCCTTGAATGCCTCCAGGGATGGGGCATCCACAGCCTCCTTGGGCAACCTGTTCCAGTGCCTCACCACCCTCTGTGTGAAAAACTTCCTCCAAAGCACGGCTGCTTTGTTTGCTATACTGCCAGGGCAGCAGGCGGCGAATTAACCCTGGTAATGAAGGCCTTCAGGGACTCAGTCTGCGCTCCTCCAGGCGGAAAGCCTCGAGAGAGCTGACCAGACCGGAGCAGATAACAGGCAGCGGGCGCCACTCGGGCGGCGTTACCTTGTTGACGGCCGCGTGCTCCCGCAACGCCAGGTCCCAGAAGCGGCAGCCCACCTGGTTCCCGCACTGGCCCACTGCAAAGAGGAGAGACAAGGCTCAGGCAGGGCCGGGGGCGGCGGGAAAGCTCCGCGCTTCACAGCCCCATACCCTGGACCACCACCGACTGCGTCATGACGGCCTCAGCGGACCGCCACCACCTCCACTTCCGACCGTTTTCCAACTCGGCGCCCGGAAGCCGCCCTCCCGTCACGGCGGCGGTGGGGGGCGGGCCCTGACAGCGGCACGCCTTAAGCACCGCCCGGCGCTGCTGTGTGGGGGTTCTGCCTTTGTGGGCAGCTCGGCGGTGGGGCGGGATGGTGCCTTTCTGAGCACACAGAAGCCGATTTGCTATTATTATTGTTATTGCTAGAAGCGTTTGTTAAGATAGGTTTTTTGCCCCGATATGTTGTTAAGCTTGGTGGTGTCAAATTGAATGAGACTGTAATAGAAAAAGAAAATGAAAAAAAGGAAAATGGGAAAAAAAGCTCAAGCAGAAATGACATACCCATCAAGCCTGCAAATTAGGTTTATCTTCGTTTTCATGATTCTCGAGCAAATAATCTCCCGCGTTACCATTAGAAGGAGGTTTCTGTGTTGAACGCAGCAACTTCAGGGCTCTGTGTGAGAGGCAAGAAGTGCAGCAATGCCCTGTTGCAGTACTGCAGCATGGCTGCTGCAAAATGGTGTGAGGAGCGCGTGCTCTCTGCAATCCACAGTTCCTTGCAGAAGGCTCTCGTGGGCTTCAGATGGCACCCAGGCTTCCTGTGGGAGAACTGAAGCAGTTCCATGCAGTCTGGTTCATTTGCTGGTGTGGCTACACAAAATATAACAAATCAGGCTTTTTCCAAATGCACTGGTTCTGGTGTGCAAGGAAGATTCGTTGGATGAAATTCTTAATAGAAATCTTGATTTTATGCCCCAATTTTCGTGATATGGAATACTGATCAAACCAGTTTAATATACCCTAAATCTTTCTTTACTTTGGAGAAGCCACAGTGCTGACTCATGGACATGACATAGGATCCATCAGAGATCAATTAGAAGCCCCCAGCAAATCATGAATGTGAGGCTGCACCATGGGGTTCCATGCTTTGGCTTCCCATGTACTGTTAAGCCTGCGATGAAAAACATGCACTGTTTCTTCTCCCTCAGCTGGGAAATGTTCTGAATCAGAAAAGAAGATTCAGAACACAAGATTCATATTCACAGTTTATCTTGTTAGTCTCCAAAAGGGGTCCAAGGGCAGAAAGTAGTTGTGTAGTTACCAGTTTGGCTTGTTGCATGCACTCAGAGGTTTAATGGAACAGGCAGTTCATCATTGTAAAAGAAATAGCCGCACACTGACTTGTTTCATTGCAGATGAAGCTCCTGGTTAGGGTACTATAAATGGATGAGTCTGGTCATGTTCCCTCAGAGACTTTTCGTCTATGGGAATTAATCACCTGTCTTATGCTGCTTTGTGTTTCTCACCCTTTATTTTTTTCTCAGTAAATACTGTTGTTGAACACCCATTGCATGCCATAGATTTGGAATCCGAGTCAAAATGCAACGCACAGTGAGAGGAAATGAGTTTGCATGGACCGCTGCGAATCAGCAAATAATCCTTAAATCCGAAATGTGTACCATAACTTAAATATATATGCTATGCTCTCAGTATCTTAACAGACATTTAACTGTGTGGGTCACATGCTGCTGTAGGAAGAACATACTGGACTTTGAACTAATGTTATTCCTAGAATTTTATCAGGACGTAGTTCACACACACATATGTATATATAATTGGTGTTGTTGGCATTTGAGGACTTACTGTCAGACCTTCATCTTTCATATTTGTTTTCAGGCTATTGTCTATACTCTACATCCCTGAGGATAGAGAAAGGTTGATAGGAACCTTTGTCTGTGGGAGATTTCTACAGATTTTCAGAAATAAGAAACAGGGGGTCAAAGATCCTAATTAAATATTCTGTTTTGAATTGGTTGCGTATTTCAGCTTGAACTTCGATTCTTTCTGACATAGCCATGCAAATTTCAAATTTCAGAACGTTTCACTTTATAATAACACTGTTATTAAAAACTTGAAGGTGGCAGAGGAAAAGTATAATCTCCTTAAGGTCTTTTTTTTTTTTTTTTTTTAAAACAGCCTTTCTGCAGAATTGAGTTACTTATATTCATATTGAAAATGCAAATGAGTAACCTAACAGTGCACATTGGAACTTGGAGCTTTTTCTCAGATCTTTGAAGATGAAGTATGAATTTTCAGGTAGATACAGAAGACTGTTTGAATTCTGGGAAGGTTTTTGCTTAGGCAGTCTTCCTCTCCTAAACACCACAAGCTTCAAAATGAATGCAGGGGTGTATGTGATGTAATTCATCAGATAGAGAGCTTTTTTTGGTGCATGCGGAATGGCAATTTCAAGGTCCATGAGGGTGCTGGGAGGAGAGAAACTCAATTTATTCTCTACTTTCTCCTGCCTATGCAAGAATCCTCCAGTTTATAGTATTTTTTCTTTCTGCAGAGAAAAAAAACCCTGCATCTCTGAGGCCTACACTGGAAATTTGCCACTGTTGTGCTTGATTAGCTGGGGATGCATTAAAGAGAAGTAAAAGGAATTGTAGTAGTTTATGAATTTTGATGTATTTTTTATTCATTTACTATTTTACTCTATTTTTGTTTTCCATATATAAAATATGCAAAGGACGGATTAATCAGAAAAATCATTTTATTTATTTTTTTTTAATATATAAAACTACTGAATGAAACTAAATCTAATTGCAGCAAATATGTCTTAAGAAAAACACTGTTTATTCCCAGAGCTTGGGTATGGATATGAGAAAAAAAGCTTCAGGTTGATGTAGATCTAAGATGGACAATTTTTCTGAGTACATGTACCAGTTAACATATAATGCTCCAGTTAATGCTAGCACTCAGTAAACTGTGATGCTCTTAGGGGGCAGCATATGCTATTCTTGGCTATCTCTGCTTAGCAGCTGCAGACAACCTTGAAAAGAATTTCAGTAATCCTTGTAAAAAATCTATCTAAACTGGGAATCTGCTGTCCTTTTCTCTCCAGCAATAGCATTCTGGAGACCAGGGCCAGAGGAAGTTTAGCTGAAGCTGTGGCATCTTGAGATAGATTAGGGCAATCTGTCAACTGTCTGCCAGTGAATAGAGAGAGACTTCTGATTCCCTTCTTACTCCTGGTGCCAGTTGCACAGCCCTGACACAGTCTCTTGTACCAACTGGGAGACCAGCTCACTGATCTGAGAACTTTACTCCAACCCCCAGAATAAGATCTCAGTACGGAAGCCCTAAAAGTTTTCTACTTGCATTCTACGTAGTGGCTGGGAGCAGGAAATTGTTAAGTAGCCATATGATTTTTGATATCTGAGAAAAATACATTTGAAGGCAGCTGGATTTGGGGACCCCACAGTGTGCTTGGTAAAGAGTGGGACTCATTGCTTCCTTCTGAATGATGAACAGTGGGCTTTGGAGTGATGAAGAGAGAGGGCTCAGCATCATTCCCAGAATAGAAGCCATTGGAGTGTTTTGGCTTATAGTTGCAGGGAGTGGAATGGGAGATTTGTCCAGGAGAACACATGGGGCTGAAAGCATGTGCAAACTGACAAGACTGGTGAAAAGAAAGGCTGTGGTTGCTGGAGTCATGCTGTCTTCCCTTGTTCATTCATCACTGCAATTGTCTGATAACAGTGGGCTCTAAAGACAAGCAGAGAGGCAGTGATGCCACCCCACCTGCCAAGCAGTCCATGTGCCAGTCTATCCAGAGCTTGTTGTTCCTCACCCACAGTGAGCCAAGAACACTTCAGTCTGTTGAAATCCTTTTCCTACTGAAAGTGAAGAAGGTACTGAGTGGTATCTTCTTGGAGTGGTTCTTCCAACTGTCCATCACTTCAAGACTGTTGGAGACGGTTGTCTCTTCTGTGTTTTCCAGATGAGTTCCTTTACATTTTTAGTCTGGGTGGTGGTGTCCTTTATGCTTTTTTCTTCTTACTACTTTTCCTACTCTGCAACTGGCCAAATTTTGAGTTGGTTCCACCAATAATTTGCCCAATCATTATAAAAGTTGATGTCAACAGTAGTTCTTTCTTCAAAGAAAATATATCAAAATGTCTTTGATATCTTATAGCTTATCACAGAAGAGACCAAGTTTTGCAGGGGATTTATGTGTATTTGATGTTAAAACATACTGCAAAGGCCTACAGTTTTACTTCCATTCACCTTCTATGAAGACACAGGCTCACACAGCTCACATCTGCAGCCCTTTGCCTCCTGTTTGCATCTTCCTTTTTCACTCCCAGTTCCTCCTCAGCAGTCTGTCTTTCAGGGCACGTTCTGTAGGAATGTCTGTCTAGTTTGAAGACTAGTTCTGTAAACTGGAGTCTTGCAGTATTTTCACAAGGAAGTGACAATTTATGAGATAAGGATTTGTCTGAAACAGTGGCTATGATTCTCCTTTCTATACTTCGTGCTTACTTACGTTATGCTAGTGCAAATAAGTAAGTATATTTAACACTGTAGAGAAAAAGCTTGAAATTCCGAATTTTCTCTCTCCCCTCCCTTCCTCCATAAGTCAAGTATAATTCTAAAATTACTGACTTAGAAAGAGTTCTGTATCTGTTCTAAATAATACACCTCCTTTCTCCACACTCTGCTAGAACACCTCCAAAAATCTAGAAGTGGGATAAGAACATTATAATCTTTCACTGTTTATTAGCTTACATAATTAAGTATACTCTCTGCTGCCAATATAAATGAGGAATACTTAAATGAGTTGAATAGAAAATTATGAAATAAATCCTTGAACACAGTTATTTGCAATGTAAGTCTATTAATTGGCTTTATTCTTTAATATGCAGTAGCAGATCTTTTCCTGGGAAACAAGTTGGGACCCAAGATATGGAACAAAATGATGTACAGGATTTATTTTGGAAGAAACATTTTTAGTATAATTTTATTTCTTTTATAATTCCACATTTTCATGTAGCAGATTGGCTGCACATGTAGTATAAGAAATGGTAAAGCTCACTCTTGTGGCATAATAAGAGAACTGCAGAAGCAACAGCTCTTTATTCTTCAGTGATTTTTGTTTCGTGCAGAAATATTAGAAGTGATTTTTGTAAATTGATCCTTGATGTTTTCATATTTTTCTCAGCATTGGTGATGAATAGAACATGGTTTCTTTTGCTCTATAATTCCTTCTTGTGGTCTAAGACACTTCACAG